CTAAAATCCAAATTAAAAATTATAATATTGGTACAAATAGATTTATTTTGAAAATCATAATTATTTTATTTTAGTTAAAGTTTAAAATTTACATAGTTCGGCCCGAACGGCCTTGGGAAGCCGGCGGCCCAGTAGGACTGTTCCCACTATCCCACCTGGCCAGTCCRCCTCTGTATAATATATTTCAACATATCTTGAACACAATTTATTTAGTTTTTTGATTTTGTGCAAATTATATATTTATTTACATTTTACGTATTTTAATATAGTGTTGTATAATGTGTGAGTGTGTATGTATAGACAATATGTATGTATGTATATATGTATGAATGTAGTATGCATGGGGGGCTTGCATATTATAAACACTCAAAAGTGTTGACTCAGGATGAAACGAGTGTGTGACTATTTCAGTTCTCACGATAGTCTACGTGACTAAAATGGCTAGGTCAGCCACATACCGAAGGCCTCGGACGGACCGTTGCGATGGGTCCGGTCGGTGGTCGTCAGTCGAGTTGATTCGAGTGGAAAGAGAGAACACGAGCGTTTCTCCACAGAGCATCCTTTAAGTTTTAAAACAGAACGTCATATAGTTTTAATCAGATCCTCTCATTATAATATTATAATATCAGTGTTCGTACATTCATTTCTACTGCAGTGTTTAATTTAATAAATCAGTAATTATATATTTACTCAATTGTCGATTCTCGTGTTACTTCATTTTATACCAATACCAAGGGCTAAGTTTTGAATGCCATATGACAATGTATAGCGGTGGAATTTCTAGAAGGGAAAAATTGTCGTAATTTATTTTGCGACAACGCAATTTCGGAGAACACTAAAGAACCTACGTGGACTACCGCCGTCTGAGTTCAATCGGTTTTGGCACCAGAAAACCAATACAGAGAATCTACAGAAACTCGTTCAATAATCGGGTCATGGGTAACCAAAGGTAATAGGTATATGCATATAGTATAATAAAGTATTTATCGGTAACATATACGCTCCACCGCCAGTAGTGTCGTAGCTGCGCATCGTTACATC